TTGTTGTGCATGTGAGAATGTGTGTGCACTATTCCTTTCCCTGCCCTTTCGCTTGTGTACCTGGAGCCCTTTAAGACAACAAAAAGGAGGGGTGTCTAAGGGCCAGGGGCCGACAGCCCCAACCCTCCAGGGCACAGGGGCTAGTGGTTAGGGCCCTGGGAAGTAGCCAGAGGAAGGGCCTCGGGGTACTGGGAGGAGTCTTTAGGGAACAGAGCTGTCTTCCCAGCCCTCTTTCTTCTTTGGGGGGCCCTCTCCCATTTTTCCCACCTCAGTGGCCCAGAGAGGCAAGGTCTCTTTCCTCCTCCCCTTCAATCAAACCAGTTCCCAGGAAAGAAAAGAATCGGACGCACTTACTCACTGGGAGGAATGAAACCGTAGGAGGGATTTTCAGGTTAGCAGCCAATCTGGAGAGTGCCTCCTGGGGCTCGGGGCTGGGAGCGTCCTTCCACCTCCATCCTTCCTCTCCGCCCCCTCCTCCTCACGCTGTCACCTCATGAGGGTGCTCACCTGCCTTGTCTTGCCGGATCTGTGCAGGAACTCTTTGAGATCTCTATGCCCACTTTATAGGCAAAGGAACTGAGGCCCCCAAAGAGTAAATATGCCCCTTCAGTCACAGCTGAGATCTAAACCGAGAGGCCAGGGGTCCTGGTACTCTGTGACTCCCGATTCAGTGCTCGCACACCACTCCCTCCTGTCACCCACTTTCCCACCTCCTGAATCTGAGAGACACCCCCTCCTATTGTAAACTCCACCCTCATTTGCCCTCACCCCCCTCAGAGAGATCCCATGAAGCCTGGCAAATCCCAATTTTAAAAACTGCCAACCTGCCCGCACCCAGGCCTGCGGGCCCCTCCCCTCTGCCCTGTACTCTGGGCCAGCTCTGCTGCCCTGTGAGGGGCAGGCACCCTCCACTGTGTCCTCCTGCCAGCCAGCAGCCCAAGCCCCGCCTCGCTGGCTTGGGGCGGGGCCTCATGCCACGGGAGGATGCGGTGGGGCCGGGGCTGGTGGACAGGGCCTTGCCCCTCCTCACTGTTCCCTCCCTTGGACATGGAGACCCCGCGTCCCCTCTTGGCTGCTTGATCCTTGGGTGAAAGTATGTTTGCTTCCTGCTTTGGGAAGGGTGTTGATCCTAAAAGTGACGGAGGGGTGGGGCCCAGACTCCCCAGGAAGCCAGGCTGCTCGTTCCACTGCTCCTTCCCCCACAAACAGCAGAAATCCCGAGGCCATGACATTGACCGGCATTTTCCCTGCCAGGGTCCGCTGTCAGCATTCACTCACCCATTCCTCACAACAAGCCTGGGTGGGGAGGGACTGTTATTATTCCCATTTTGCACAGGTGAGAACTGAGGCTGGGGGTTAAAATTCTTGCACAAGGTCACAAACAATTTATGGGGGTGTGGGGGTTTAATTAATTCCATGTCAGGCCCAGGTCTGAGCCCAAAGCCAGGGCTGTTTACCCTCCACTGTGTTTCTGAGTCTACCTGAGCACCTGGGCCCGGCTGTCCGGGTGACCCCCAGCCCTGCCCCAGGCCAGATCCTCAACTCTGTCCAGGTCCCGCTCTGGCCCCGGAATCCTCCTGGCCCGGCTTTCCTCTGTTCCCGGAGTGTCAGTGCCCCTGCTCTGCACCCTGTCCCCGCCGGGCCCTTCGGCTGCAACGCCCTCCCCCGACCCTCACTAGCCCAGTCCCTCCCCACCCACCCTCGGTTCATCCCCAGCTCCCAGTCTCCCAGGGCCCAGAGTCTGTACTGAGCCTGGCCCAGCCTGAGCCCGCCCACCACCCCTTCTCTGTCCTGTCCTGCAAAGCAAGGACCCACCCCACCCACAAGTGAAGGGCACAGCCCTGGCCTGGGGCCTCTCTCAGGCCAGAGCTGGGTCCTACATCTTCATCTACCCCAGGCCTGCTCATCCCCCACACCACCACCCAGAGCCTGGCACAGTGGGGCTCCCATAACCCCAGGTGGGGAGAGGCCCGAGGCCCAGTTAATTAGTCCTGGGAGGGGCCACAGGAGGGGTGTGAGCAGTATTTGGAGACCCCAAGCTGGTGCAGGACCCCCCATTATCAGGGAGCTCTGTCTGAGGGGGACACAGGCCTGTTCTTATTTGTGTGTGTGTGTGTGTGTGTTCTCATAGCACTTTACTTATTTTTAATTATAATTGACATATGATACCATATTAGTTTTAGGTGCACAACATAGAGATTCAACATTTATTTATCTTCTGACATGATCACATGATAAGTCCAGTGTACATAGTTGTAGCAATACTATTGATTATATTCCCTAC